TTTGCTTATTTTACAACAACCATATGGCTACCCTGTGTGGTTAACCTACAACTCTCAAAAGTCGAATAAAAAACACCAGTTGAAATGTGTGTACTTTGACACAAAAACACACTTTATTGGGTCATAGTTCACATTTTGTGACATCTGTTGTCTCACTCTTTGTGTTAGCTGGGTTCTTATTTATCCCAACATCATCCTGAGCCTGTAAGAGGGCGGCGTTTTGTTGTTTTCCATTTACATCTTTTGAAAAATCAATTTGATGCGTTCCTCTTTTTTTTTTATGAAGCCAGTAAATGGTGAAGTAATGGTGATATAAGGCACTTTCCCCTTTACTCTACATGTGCATTGCATGTGCTTCAACATTTATGTCACTAAAGTGAACAAAATAAATATAGTCAGGTATCCCCAACAAAGGCTATCTGAGTTATCCATCTCCCTTATCACAAAAGGGAAATTTCCCAGTTGACAGTCTGCAGTTTTCCATGTTTTTCAAGCTCATAAAAAATTCAATCTCTGATGCCATGCATGGAACACGCCCCATTGAAAAATCACTCCTCTACTTGTTGGTATGCATGGGATTTGCAGGACTGTGACTCTAGATTCTGAAACCAATTATTCAAGTAGCTGCCACTGTAACTCGCAGGGCAAGCGTGTCGAGAACAAGGGGAAGAAGCATCTCAGAGATGCATAATAAAATGTTCCCTGCTGTATCGTAGAGTCACTTGTGTGCACCATTTTAAGTGCAATAGAGTCCAGTGTCCTTGAATTGGAGTTTTGAGTTCAATCATGTGTAAGATAACTGAACTAAAGATATTGCATGGGGATAAATGAAATCTGTTCTTGCTTTTACCTTCAGTGTATGTCTTAATGTTGAGATTGCAGCCATGATTTTCAAACTGCAGTTTTTTGTGTTCAAATCAAACTTAGCCTTAGTGACAGATATAGGGATAGATATTCCAAACTTAACACAATGACCCATCACAGGTAAATCGTGAATAAGTAACAGGATGTATGGATAAGTAAATTTCAATCAGCAGTATTTTGATCATGTTTATGAAAATAACTGCAAGAGAACAAGTTTCCATGAAAGCGACCTGAAGTTGATTAATTGTCATATTGTGTTTAGGCATTGGCTCATTTTGGAAATTCCTTACGTTAGCACAAACATCTGAGCTATGAAATATGAGCACATTGGAAAGATCATTTTTCATTCAATCTATTCTGAATACCTGGCATTTGAAATTCATAGAGCATCTTATGGCGTTTTGTCAGAGTTTAGGTGAGGGATCTCCTCAGGCAACCCCATTAATCTGTATTAAGCAGGGACATGTCAGCTGCTCTGTGTGTGTGAGTGTGTGTGTGTGCAAGCACGTGTGCACTTGTGTGGATTGGATGATAAATCTGTGAGTCATTTCAGCACTGAGTTTCAGGTGATCAGAAGATACAATTCTGAATTCCTTGTCATACGTTGGTTTGTTTCTAATTGATTTACAAGACCAACTGTATAAAAAATAAGTCATTACACTACCTGAGAGGTTATGACCATGTTGTGTCGTCACTGAGCCTGGTACTGCATTCTGAGACTCCCCATAAAACCATGTATCCTTAGGGGCAGTGCCTTACATACGATTTCTCACACTCTGTTGTGTGTCTGATGAGTTTTCTCATCAGCTTGTGTTTGGCTGTCTTGTCACATTTTGGATAAACTAGCAAACACATTTTTGCCTGAACCACAAAATGTATCCCGAAAGAGAACTTGGTGTACTTGTACTTCCATCAGTAGTGGCATCGTATTTTAAGAGTTAGAGAGCAACTAGACCCCCCCCCTTCAGGTTTCAAATGGCTTCTATCTTACTATTAATACATTTTGGGATTCACCTTAATAATTTTATACTTTAAATTATGTACAAATTCAAGTATGTGGGACAGTATTTGACTACTGATTGCAAAGATCTACTCTTCAGCCTAACCCACAGACCACAGTTATGTTTCCTATTGTGAAATGTCTCACTTATTGTTTAGGAACCAAATTACTTAATTAGATTTAGAAGCGATTACTGTTTGGGCTCAAATAACATGTTGACATGTTTTGGTTTTACAGGGGACACAGTGATCTTCAGGATGAGAAACAGCTTGACTGGGACTGTCATGGACTTCTTCAAAGCGTGTGCTGCTACTTCCTGAAAAATCGCCCATGAATGCAGGTGCAGAACCATGAATCATTGTATCTTGTGTCATGATATAAGATTTGTTCTCTGATTGCTCAAGTACCAACATCTACATAATTTTATCAGTGTGTGCCCTTCATAGCACACAAGTTTGTTCCAATTAGTGATGATATATTGGCTTGACATCGCGTTTAGTAAGGACGGGCAAATTGCAGAGCCATGATTGAAAACTTAATGAATGATTCATAAACTGAAATGAAATGGACATTTTCATTTGGGCGTCTGCAACAATGATTAGCTGGACACGCAGCATTTCTACATTCGTAAAAGACAAACTGCGTCAATTTAGAGGCATTGCTTGATTCTACCTTGAAATGTAGGTGATTTTATAAAACAAAGAGTTTGTCAAAGCTTTTCAATACCAATAGAATAATAATTTCCTCTCCTTATGTACAAAATCATTTAATTTTCTGTTTGATGCTGTGTTGTCGCTCTTTATCCTGCTACTATCTGGGTGTTTGAGGAATTGAGCAGGGAGGCTTGTTGTCTTGTGTGAAACAAACAGATGGGACGACAAACCTGACCTACTTCTTCATGTGGACCATTCTAAATAGAAAGGACGATCTCTGAGAGAAGAGGGAAAATAGAGCTGTGTGATGAGTTAGTATTCCAGATGAATACAAAATGTGTGAAAACAGCTACTTATTATTATTATTTTTTTTACTAATTTTTATTTATTTTAGCATTTTGCTATTATACTCACTGCAATCACATTACAGGATTCCGTGTCTAGTTTCTTCAGCCACTTTTTTTTTCTCACATGCTGCACGGATCAAAACATGGGTCAAAACAGTATATCAACTTAACTAAAACAAGACCCTGTCATGTTGTGATCTTTTACAAGAGAATATTTCTGATATGAGAGGATAATTGAAATAATGTGTTTGCCAGAGATAGAGAAAGATCTAGATTATAATCATTGAGTGCTGTTCTGAGATCCCTTGTGATGTATGCATGAAGTTTTTTTGCCTTGTGATAAATTACCTAAGCTCTGCTTAGTCAGCCATGATAGTTTTGTGCCTAATGGAAAAAAGGAAAATTGGTTAAGTGCGAGGCATGAAAAAATCATATTCTAATTATGAGTATTTGCTAAGTTAAGGTTATTACATGATAACCAATTTCAGTACAATAATTTAAAATATGAAATGATTCTTGAAAGTTTATTTCAATAATCCTGCATATGCTGACATTATCCACTCTAGAATGACCAAATCATTTTACAGTTGCCAAACAACAAGAAATGTATCCAAAGCTGTTGCATCATATAGGTTCATGTCCATGGTTAGGGGAATATTGAGGGATGTAGAAACAGTTTACACATGTATGCAAACAGTGATCATGAAAAGGGGTCTTTTCACGTGACACTCCTATTTGTAGAGGTTTGACTCTGAGTAAGATGCAATCTGTGACAAAATGTTAGTCCTTTGCACCTTAATAGATGCCAATAGATGCATTCTCTTAGAGACCTCCATTTGTGGAAGGGTTAAAGCGCAAGAGATTCATTCTACTTTACTACTTTTTGTGCTTTTATTCAGGCATCTTTTAAAGGAACCCCTGGATGCTGTATGTAATTTTTCTTCTTTTTGAATAGGTCAGACTGTATGTGTGGTTCCAATTGAAATACAGGTGCAGCTGATAACTTAAAAAGTGTTTATTATTGCCCACATGCAGTGAGCTGTTACCCCCTGGCTGAATATTCTGTTTATATCCACAGCCTGTTAAACAATATCATGAACTGTGTTTCAGACTATTGCATTGTTTGCATTTTTTGGACCTGGGGGCTTGCAGGAGAAGGTAATACATTGCAAAGACATAATGTGTTCCCTTGCCCTGAGGAAATACAGGTAATAGGCTAATACACATATGTCAACGGGAGTTCAAGGAGCTGCTGTCTTGTTCATTTCAGCACCATGGACAGCACTGAGCCTTCACAGAATGGATGGTTCACTGTCCATGGTGCTGAAATTCAAATGGCCTTAAAGCAAATACTCTGGTCTTTTTCAAGTCATTTATTATATTAGAATGTAGTAGATTAAATTTATATTCATTATGGCCACTGGTATACTTCCTCTAAAAGGTTCAAGTTTATTTTCACAAGTTCACTTTGAACGTGAAATGAACTTTTCCTGTGAAATCGATTAAACAGGAAAACCATACAACATCTGAAAATAGGCACGTTATTTATTTTTCCGAGAGCCTCTGCTTGTTTTCGGCCGTCTTTGGTTTGACCTGCACCTTTTCCTTTTCAGTCTTATGGTTCTCCAACGATTTGGTATAATTGTCTTTGTTACATCCATCTTATTAAAAAAATATTGAATGGAATTTAACTAAACAGGAAGCTGTGTCTTATCATGCTATGGGACGCTTCAGCAGACAGGGGAAACAGGTAATGAGGGATCAAAGCTCAGCTACCTGTGTGAACAATCTCTCCATCCCTAGATAACACATTTATAATGAGTCACTTAACCTAAAGCGGCAAGAAGTGTTTTTGATGCTGCTTTATTAACAGAACTGTACATCTGTATGGCAAGTATATTTTAAATGGCCTGCATGCATGTCGGAACCGCCGGCTGCTTCCCATAAGATGAAAGCCCAGTAAATCACTCCTGGCTGTCAAGCCGCTGATGTGTCTGCCCTGCATAAAGGGTCTGCAGCCTTTCCACCAGGCTGTTGTATCCCTCCTCTCCTCCTCACTTACCTCCTCCCCTCCCCTCCCCTCCCTCCCTCGTTTCCTCTCCTCCTCCACATTCAGTGCTCCCTCTTGCGCGCGCGGCAAGCAGCAGCAAGGCTCGGGCGCTTCTCTGACGCACCATCAGAGATGAGCATCCCGGTCCCACAGGCTGTCAGGGCAGACTCTCTCGACATCTCCCCCCCGGACCTCTGCGGTCAAGATTTCAACATCGGCTCCATTTGTTTGTAGTCTGTTTTCGCGTTGTAGTCTGTCACATAAAGCTCTGCGTTTGGCTGGGATGCCAAACAGTTGCCATCGTCAGGGAATTTACTTCGGAGGTGATTTCTGTATCCGCAACAACTGTCATCGAGAAAGTGATACATTCCTGTCTACATATGCGAGAGACTTCTTGCTTTCGGGACATCCTTCAGGACATTCCCGCGCTTTAAGATAAGTGGTTCAAATTAAAGGTGGAAACGGGGGCTGAATAAGAGGGCTGTTTTGACAGGAGATCGTTTGGATGACGGACACCGAGACGCAGTAGCGCGGATCTGCGCCCTTGGAATATTCTTACAGTGCCTGTCATTCAGTAGAAATATTTTTCTGATTTTGCAGTGATAATACATACGACGAGTTTGTGCCACTGCAGGGCTGCTGCGGCGTTCCTGTCTGTCCTGCTTTGAAATACGGTTTCCTTGACGGACGGGCGTCAGAGCATCCCGGACAAGCCCGATTTTGCGATGCCCAAACAGTGAGGGGCACGCTGGGATCTCGTTTGGTCACCCTGCGCGGTCGCATGGCTTCAGCCCGGAGGGACTGCAGCGGCTGGGAGATGTTCCTCCCGAGATGCCTGCTGCTCTCTGTTTTGCTGTTTCACCCTACTCTGGCCAAGGTGTGCAACGATCGTACCAAACACGGACAGGACAACAGCTGGTTCGCCAGGGACGGGGAAAACTTGCCAATCATGGTTCTAATGCCCATGAACGAGTCGGCCTTGATGAGCAGTATTAGCCAGGGGATCGAGCCGGCGGTGCAGCTCGCCATCCAGCACATACGGGAGTCCAGGAAGTACTCGTTCTCTCTCATCACCAAAATCTACGACACCGAGGTAAACATCCTGGCTAAATCCCTCCACTAAGCTGCCGCTGGTTGGCCCAGGCGTGTTAAAACTGTTGTATGTGCCGTGTGTATGTGTGTGCCCGTTCGCGCGTATCTGTTTATGGCGCGCGCTTTGCCCCGCAGCGCTTCACACATTGTGCGTCCAAGGGGAAACGCTGGGCTCTGTAATGTTTGGTATGTGTGCAGCCCCGTTGTTGCGCAAAAGCCAGCTGCTTTCACTTTTTACTATATGACATCGCGGCGCTATTTCCCATCTTCCTCCCTGTCGCAGCTGTCGCCTGTCGTTGGTGTTGAATTTAAATGTAACCTGGCATCGTAAAGCACTGCATCACCCGGGCACTCCAAAGACACACTCTCGTGCTTTCCCTACATTGGACGTTTTAATGGTTTCCGCAATCTCAAGGCTGTTTGATGATGTAACTGTCATGCATTGCTGTCATTCTGCTGGCTTTTACACACAACGATACAGTCAGTCTTTTTGTTATCGTCACTTGCTAAGATATGTGTGTATGACTTTAGCTTTCACTATGAAGATTTTTAGTCACGATTTAGTGACTTTCACAGATTAAAGGGCCTCCTCTCATAGTGCCTGAAGATGGCAGTAATTGGATGCATGATTTCTTGTTACTCCTTGCACCATTGAAGAGGGTATGTGGCCCACATAATCAAGCACCCAAATCATATCTTTTTATTATAAATAAATGATAGATTATCATTGATAACATTACCAAAACATATTAACAACTCCTGCATAAGTTCAATGAAGTTTAGTCAACTCCTGAATTTGCAAACTTTGGAAATACAAGTATGTTCTTTGTGAGATGATTTCAATGTCCACATTATTGGCCCTTAGGCTTAGTTTTTTTGTCCTGTAAAAACACAATTCAGTTGAGGAGTTTAAAGCTGCAGTGTCAAACAGTTGCCATACCAACATGAAAGGATGTTGGTAGTGTGACAGATCTGTTTTAAAACCTTAACAAGACAATTCGTTGCTTAGTATTTCATTGCCTTGTTAAGTGAATAATTAGTAACTGTTATAAAATTGCTGCCTGGGATAGCAGTAATTCTTTTGGTCTCCTGTCTGGCACCTTTTCAGTACACTGTATATTCACAGGTGTGTGTGTGTGAAAGAGCACACACACATCTCTGTTGACAGAGGTAAGCTCTCACAGGCAGCATGCGCTCAGACCACGGGATTAATATGCTCTTATGAGAGTTATGATTTTTCCACATCTACTCCCTGGGAGCGAAAGATGAGCTGGAAGCGAGAGGTCAGTGGGCCAGCCTGACGTGTGCTCACTGGGAATGTCTGATAGTGATGCCAGCTTTCTAATACTGGCAATCAATGGGAACTCATGAGGACAGTGTTGTGTGACAACACTGTGGTCAAAGGCTAAACTCTATCACTCTGTGACACTGCCATTCTTTGGATATTTGACGTTTGTTTAGTTCACAGGCCAGCTGAAAAATCCAAGCTCTGTTCATGCTTTGAATATGGCAAAATAAAAATACTCCATGGCCTCACGAAAACCCTTGATATTGCCTCTCAATTAGCAAAATATTGCTTTCTTTCAGTGCACATATGCATGCTAAACTTTATTTTGAACACTGTTTTTTATCATTCTTTTGTGGCCGACCCATAGATAGACATGTGTAACTGTAGTAGATGATTGGGTAGGCTGTTGCCCAGTGATATCCCTTTAGCATTGGCTTTATCAGAAAAAGTGCCTTGCCAACAGCTTGGAGTTTATTTACAAGCTATTGAAAATCATTTGGCATAGCCTGGCATGGTTAAAGTCAACAAGACACCAAAGGGAGTGTGTTGAAGCACAAATGACATTATATAACTGCAACAAAATATTGTTGTATTTTATATTATCTGTGAATAACATAGAAACATGATGATGAAACTTGTATTGTTTGTTTATGAAGAGGGCTGAGGTGCTCTGAGTGTCTCAACACTTACAGGTGGGGGAGACCCCTGCTCAGGGTTATTGCTGTTGTGTTGACTGAATTGCTGTTAAATCCTCTGACATGTTTATAGATCCAATAATGCAAAGTTAGTGACGGCTGTTTTGTTAACAGTTAATTTTACTTGTGTTCATATATGTTTATTGACCTATAATATTTTACTTTCACATGAATAAAAGTCCAGAAACACACACACACACACACACACACACACACGCACACACACGCACACGCACACGCACACACACAGACACAGACACAGACACACCCGGACACAGCTTCCTCACATACCACATGCTTATGTCAGGAAACAATACATGCATCAGTGCATTTGCTGCAGCAGATAGCAGCAGGCCAAGTGTGTGCCTCTGTGTGGTGTTTGTACTTGTGTGTGTGTATGTGTGTGCGCTGGGATTTATCCTGGCAGATGTAAGTAATCAGTCCCTGAGCAGAGGCTCTTTATCCTTTTATCCTCTGTCAATGGAGCCAGGGGTTGACAGGGCAGACCCGGTCCATCCCCTGGTGGTAGGGAGCTGGGTGGTGCTGCTGATGAAGGTAGTGGTGTTTTACTGGAGGAGGGGGGTTGTCCCATGGCGAAAGGTCCAAGAAAAGAGGCCTGGTTGCAAGAGTGAAGTGGCTTGTTGTTGGAGGATTGAAGAAGCAGTAATTGAAAGAAAGCAGGTGACCTGATGTGCAATTCCTGGACATGAGATCTTTTAAGGTGTGAAATATGTGATCAATGCAGACTGAGACTATGGAAATGAGATTTGTTTTCTTTAAAACCAAAGCATTGCAGGTAGAAAAGAAGCTGGGTGGATTATATCAACTGGGAGGCTTAGTGCTGGAGCTGGAGTTGGGCCTCCACCACAGCTCCGGATGTGTGAGTGTGGGTCTTAGTGTAACCGAGCACTGATACTGTAACTCATGCAGGCTTAGCTGATCAAAGCTTTGGAGAGGACAGGAGGCACTGGAAGAGGATGGAAGGGAGTCTTTGGGCCATGTGAGCGTTCTAGGCTAAGCTACGCTAGTTCACCGGCTTAAAGGATGTGTGACAGGCCCTCAAGAGGAGCCACCTAGTGCTGGATCACTTTTGGTAACCTTCTGAATCTTAAAGATGTTTTCCCCCTGTACAGTTGTAGTAATTTAAAGTTGAAAAGGTTTACCAGGATATCAATGGATTGGATTGTAAGCACTCCTCGTTCCATAAACAGCTGATTGATGTAGGGACTATGGCACAGTTTAATGTTTGAGATACATATATGAAGCACAAGTGCTGTATTAAAAATTCAGCAAAATGAGTGAGAAGAGAATAAGAGGAAGGTATAAATCTAAAAAAAAAATCAGTCTGAAAATATGATAGAATCATGAAATGAATTAAAACACAAATCCACAAAGGCCAAACTAAAAATAATTTAAGTACTGTTGTCACATAATTTGCAATGCAACTGCTGTCCTAACTAACAAATTTACAGGGGGACATCAGATTTGTTGTTGTGGTCATTGGTACTGCTGATGGTCGTCCTTTGTGTACAGCCCATGAGTTGCTTCACCTTTAAGTTAGCTGGAGTACAAGCTGAAGCTTATACTATTTGTAACTCAGTAAGATCATTTTCAGTTGGTCAAAGTATATGTATATTTTATAAAAGATATATTTTGGGACCTTTGTGCTTTATTAGAGAGATAGGACAGTGGACTGTAGCCTCCGTACATGGGGCCCACACACTAACCACTAGGCTACCGGTGCCCCCAAAATATGTTTGGCAAGAGGTCTCATGGAAACTTGAAATTTGATATTGACCATTTAAATCTTCTTTTTTGTTTTCAATTAAATAGTAAAAACAACAGACTGCACTTCTTGGATTACATCTTAAATGTAATTCATGCACTTTAGAGCGTGTGCTCCTTGCTATCATATTTCTTCCTTAGTCAGAGGATAGTGAACACATGTATTTTTAAAGGCAAATCAATACCTTCACAAAGACACTGAGTCTGCACTGCACCACATACAGTATGCAGATGGGTATTTATAACATTCGACTGTCCATCCATGCACTACTATGTGACTCCTGAGACTATGCTAACAATGAACTGTGTTCAGACATACAACGCACAGATATACACTGCTTCCCCTGCTCTCACAGAGGACTAGATGCAACATGTCACATTTGTGTACGTGTTGCCAGGCATGAAACCCCCATACTTACACTCATACACAGGAGGGAGAGCATCCCTCCGAGCATGTATAAGGCGTTCTGTCATTTTGTCTGCAGAAGTTAGGATTGTGGTGGAAAGCATTACCATAATGGAGGTCAGAGTGCTGCTAAGCATAGGTCTTAAGTCCCACTGAGCTGTTGGTGTTTTTTGCTTTGAGGAGAATTTGTTGTGTCAAAATGTTTTTTGTTTATAGTGTGAGCCATTTATATATTTATTTAGAATAAGTATGCTTGAGTGATTTTTGACTGACCCTACTGATTCCCACACTCAAATTCACCTCTCAGCTTTTGTGTTAAAGCATCTGACACAGGCCACACAAAAGCAGCCCCTTTGGACATCTTGTATGTCAGGGTTTCATATTGTACGCCACACTTTATCTAAATATCTGACATCCATGCAGCGCATGGGGCGGTGACCCAGGGGGGTTCCACAAAGATTGCCTGTCACTGTCCTTAAAGGGAGGGTGAATATTCAGGGCTAGTAGAGGAAAGTAGCCTGTGACAGCCTGGGTACTCTCCAGGCATACAGAAAATGCTGAGTGTGGCTGTATCCACTGACCCGACACAGATAGAGGGGATCAATGTGCACCAGCCCTTCTCATAGAATGAACAGCATCTCAGGGGAGAATCAGAGAGAGAGCCAGGAGGGAAAGAGATGTGTATGGCTATGAGATGGAGATCCCGAAATAGGATTATATCATCTTCTGTGCAGGAAGAGGAAATGGCCAGCCTCTTAATTCTTATTGCATCCTAATGTAATGCCATTTGGGTTGTTTCCCTGAGGCTACATTGTTTAATGGCCATG